CGCCGCCAGGCAGCACAAAGCCAGCCTAATCTACCATGCCCACCCCCTCCATCCCGCCAACATGCCACACGAAAGCATATAAGCCCCCTACCAGCCCCTCCAACCCCCTCCAACCCCCCGCCGCCTGCCGAAACATCCAAACTCGGCCGCCGACCAAAAACGGTGGTCTCAAATAGGGTTACAACAGAAACAGATGAGACATGTGAAGGGAACCCATGGTAATGCTGTAAACAGCGGTGATGTGGCACGCCTACAATACAACATGCCAGTGCAAACCTGAATTGAGACCTGTTAAATGGGTACACACTCACTACCGGAACCGTGCCAAGAAGCAGTGAGGCTGTGCAGATGCAGTAAAAAGTACCTAGAGTTTGACAAATGCACACAAAACCGTGTCAAATGAGGCCCACACAGTTTCCAGCTGGATGTAGTGTAGCGAGCAAGCGTGCAGGGCAACTTGCCAGCATTCCAAGACGCAAGACAAGGTGTGTTTGGCTTGTGGTGAACAGCAAATCAGACATTCTGGCGTGTGTCAACCAGAATGGGTGAGACTGCACACATGGTAGGGCATTGTGGCAAACAGCGTCCTGGGATGCAGTCTGGTACCCGACCTTATCGGACCCACTCGATTTTGGCGCCTACATTGCAGCAAGGTGGCCGAACCAACAATACCCTTCTCCAACGACTGCAAAGAGAACCTTCGTACCTTGCCTTTCCGCCGCGGACAGCAGACGGAAACACCAGGATCCCCAGGAAAACCAGGAGCCAGCAGCGGCGCGGGTTGCATGAGCACAACGCTTGCCCTGTAGAAGTCCCACGCCTCCCGGCCCAAAGCGGCTATGCAACCGCTGGAGCGGGGCGAAGTCCTTAAGGTGGGGCGCCGTGCTGACGAACCCACTGTGACGGACAGCCTGCGGCGAACAGCCTCAGCCACCTCCCTCCTCAGCCGCATCAGGCGGTGCCTGCGCCCTGCCTGGACCCTCCGCCGCCCAGTGCCGTCCTGATGGTGTGCACCAGCAGCTTGAGCAGCATCTTGGGGGACGTCAGGGCGGCGGGAGGCTCCAACATGTGCATGACCCTGTGGGTGAGTTGACGGGTGGGGAGTGAACGAGCCACGCACATGGGAGAGGGTGATGCGCCATTCTCGGTCTCAGCGTTGCAGATAGCCAGCATATGGCAAGAGCGCAAGCAGAAGCGACCACGTGCAACCCGGGTGCTGTGGCCAGGTGCTGTGGCCAGGATGCTCACTTCATCATTGTGGCGTGGGCATCTGCATCCGTCCGGCTCATCCTGCTGATCTGAAAGACACGCCCGGGGGGAAGGGGGGTTCAGGTCGCTGGCGCATCATGCGGGAGGTTTGACGGGCTCAAGCTTTCAAAGTCACATGTGCCTCGCCACCTCAACCCTTCCTCTATCGAATTGCCCCCCCCCCCCTCTCCAAAGGCAGTTGGGCGGTTCACCCCGGGCATGTGCAACGCCCAAGCCAACACCTTCCACCCGCCTCGATCCACAGTGTGCCCACACCTGCATGAAGATGTGATTGATCATCTTCTCCGTGGGAGTGTGCTCAAAGCCCGCCACGTACACCGCATCGCTTCCGGTTGCCAGAGCCCACGGGATCGCCACCAGGCCCCCCACGCCGCGCATGAACGTGCGCGTCGCGCTCGGCAGCGCGCCTCGCGCCGCGGTCAGCCACTGGGCGGAGGCGTCCGGCGCGGCGTCGGGGGTGGCCCTGGCGCTGCTGTGCAGTGCGCCCTCCAGCTGCTTCCCCAGTGCCACTGCCTCCAGCACCGCCACACTCATGCCCTGGCCTGAGGGGTCAAGACGCATTCACAGGGGTGCGTTGTGGATGGGTGGCCCGGAGAAGGGGGGGCAGCAGGGGCGCAGGGACCGCGTGGAAGCCGGGCAGGGGCGACGTTCCGCAGCCTGACAGAGAGATGGCGTTATGCACAGCAGACAGCCCATCAGGCCCCTGCATGGGGGATTGCAGCGCATCAGGCGCTCCGCCGAGGCGCTCGCCCAGGAGAAAGGAGCGCGCACCGTATATCTGGAGGTCAGTTGGGCGTCACAAGGTGGCGGCAAAGAATGGGCGACCACGGTTGAGAGGGGGGAGGGAGGGGATTGACCTGAGGCGATGTACCGTTGCTGCGGCCCGCCCCGCACTGCAAGCCGCACGCGGGCTGAAGGCATCCTCCGGCACCGTGCACGGGCCAATGCCACGACACCACATACCCCGCACCCAGCGCCCTGTGCCCTGCCTACCCACCGGGTTGAATGCGCAGACGCCATCCCCGAGCACCACGAGGCCGCCTGGCAGGTCAATCTCCTCGTACTTCCTGGGGGGCGGGGGCGACATAGCGAGGGGCCAGGGGGGCCGGGTGTGGGACATCGGGCTCCCACAAGGGGAGACAGCGTGGACGGAAATCACTCGGGCAAGGCGCCGAGTGGGTGAGTGGGGCAGCGGTGGCCCACTTCCCGGGGAAGAGATTAGGTGGGGGAAAGGGGCGGTGCGGCTGTTCACAGGCCACGCTTGGCTGGTGACAAGGTGGGAGCGGAGGCTGAGCATCCAGTGCAAGTATCGACTACATTCCTGGCGCACGTTTCCTAGCGCACGTGCAGGCAATCGACACACACACACACACACCTGACCAACCACCCACCCACGCATGCCGAACATCCGCCATTCGAACGCACGCGCGGAGACCGACCTGCGGAAGTTTGCTGTGCGCTCGTACATGCGGATGTCTCCGATCCTCTTGGCGCCACGCAGCGCGGTGGCCAGGCTGGGGTGGGGCATGTCCTCAGCAAACTGGGTGATGGCCTCGTCAGTGCCCTCGCAGCGCTCCCCCAGGCGGCCCGTCAGAATCAGCTGGCAGGGCGCGAGGGCGTGTGGAGGGCGAAGGTGCGTTGGCTCATTGTGATTGTGCAACTAAGTCGGGGTTGAGGGGTCCACTATGGGCCGCACCGCGGTTGCGATGCGAGCGTTGCAGACGACACACACAACGACGGGAAATGCAGGGTTTAGTGCGAGTGCGTCGTCCCCCCCCCTTTTACGTGGTGGCGGCCGCCCTCTATGGGCAGGAGCATCCCGCTGCGCGAGTCAGGGGGCTGCGTGAAAACCTGGAGCGGTGGGTAGTGCCATTGCAGGGGTGGGTGGGGGGGGCGTGGAAGAGTCAGGGCAATCCCGGGGGGTGACGATGCCAGACGGGTAGAGCAATCGGCGTCAACAGCCCCTGCGTCCCAGAAACGTGCACTGAGCCACCGCCACCACAGGTCATGAGCCCCCACCATGACGGGGTGGATGCCGGGGTGCGTGGCGGGGTCCAGCTCGTACACTGCACTCGTGTAGACCTGGCCGCACAGGGAGCAGGGAGCAGGCGCGGTCGCAGGGCCAAGGGGGTGGGCGCGGAGCGAGGGCGCACGGCCGGCGTGTGTCCTGGGACGGCGGCGCGGCTGGGGTGGCAGCGAGGGCGCCCAGCGATCACCGCCGACCGCAGGGGCGTAGCTGTGCTGCGTCACCGGGCATGCCCCCAAATGGCACCCAACCGCACGCAGTGCTGTGCTAGCCGGGGCTCTGCCCCAGAACACAAGTCTCTGCAACAGAAAGCCGCCGGGCGGCCAGGGGGGGCCTGCGAGCCGACTCTGGGGGCACCCCCAGCCGCCTCACACACCACACCGTGTGTGAGCTGCCGCTGGACCGCTGGCCAGGTGGTCAAGCTGTGCAAGACCCTGCCCAAACACTCCCCTGATAATGGCCAATTCCCCCCACACCCACCAGGCGCGAGTCGACGGTGACGGTGTCAGGGGTGGCGCAGCCTGCGGCCTCCAGCCACTCTGGTGTGCGGCTGCCGCGGCCGGACGCGTCCACCACCAGGTCGGCCGGCACCACGCGGCCCCCGCGCAGCTTCACGCCTGGGGAGCGCAGGGACGGGGGTGGATGCCGCGTGGATGGGTGAGATTGATGACTGAGGTGGATCCATGAGGCGACAAAAGCGTGATTGGCTACAGGCGCAAGCGCAGCGGACGCTTCAAGCGGGTCGCGATGACCCGCGTGCGGGCTCGTCGCAACTGAAGGAACAGAGAAAGCACGTTTGTCGCTCGCGCATGCGCTTCGCTCTCGCCGCGCCCGGCCGGCGAGTCACCCACGCACCTGTGACGCGGCCCTGGGCGGCGCCGCCGTCGCCGGGCGCCATGGTGAGGCCCTCCACCACCGCCCCACTGAACGCCTTGACGCGCGGGCAGTCGCGCCGCACGCGCAGGCGCAGCTCGGTCTCCACCAGGGAGCGCGTCGCCATGAGCATCTTCGCGGTCACGGCAAGAGTTGGTGGGTCAGGGGGAAGAGTTGGTGTGGGGCCTGAGGTGAGGGAGCTGCTGCGGTGGTCACTGGCATGTGGTCTTTGGGCCAATCTCAAGGTTTTAACGCCAAGGGGACCGGGACAGTAAAAGACGCTCGTTGCATGCGAAGCGCGATGCAGTTGCGCGCCCGCTGATTCGGAGACACCCCCGCCCCCCGAAATTCAAACACCACCGTGTCAGCGCACCTCAAACACGCTGTAGGTGTGCTCGAACTTCCCGCCCACGCGGCCGTCGTAGAGGTCCCACGACTGCGGGCTCGGCACACCCACCGCACCCGCAGCAAGCAGCTCGCCGCGCAGGCCTGCGGCGTTGATCAGGCGCGGGGCATGGGTGTTGAAGTGAAGGAGCAGCTGATAACAGCAAGGGTGATGCCCATCGATAGGAACAACAGTGTCTGGCAGCGTCACCGCACAGGCACAGGCCGCTGTCCACAAGCCCTGTACCCCCACCCGTTCCCAAGCCTGATTATTGACGGCGCCTTGTTTCACCACCAGCTAACCCGCCAGGCCCCATACATCCACCAATAACCCCCACCCCCTCATCCCCACCACCAAGAACAGCTCACCAGGGAAGAGCACCTCCAGCTCCTGCAGCCCGCGGGTCAGCATCACCTGCACAGGGGTGCAGGGGGGGGACAAGCACAGCGCCGACAAGGAGGCAGCAATGAGGCGGATGGTGGCAGATCGCAGCATGCGCTTTGGACACTAAGCGGCTAAAGCAGGGTCGTCTGCTGTAGCCCTGTGGTTTTGCTGGTGCTGGTATCCACCAAATGTGAGGGCTGCGACCCAGGCAACTGCCACAGTCATCCGTGCCCCCCTCACGTGGGGCTGGGAGAACTGCGGTACGCCGCGACGCCGCGCGGCGACGGCCTCAGACACGTCCGCGAGCCCCGGCGCCTGCGCCGCCGCGGCCGCGTCGTTGCCGGTGACGTCATCAATGAGCTGGCCGTCACGCTCCAGCAGGATGACCTGGGGGGGGGGGGAGCATGGGCGGGCAGCAGCTGAGCAGGGCGACAGTGGACCAGGACGACAAATGAAGAGCATAGGAAGCGCGGCGCCCTCCGCCCACCGCAAAAGCGTTGCTGTTCGCGTTGCCATGTGCCTTGCCAGAATGCACACTCAAGGCACCCTACTATCTGGTAGGGCTTGACCTGCTGCCTAGGAAGAGATGCAACATGCTAGGCAGAAACCAGAGGCTGCAACCTCAAAATCAGGTCGGCGCTACAGTGCCCGCCCTGACTGTTTGCAGTGCCTGCCTCGACAGGTGAGGGGACGCAACCACCTCGCGTCACACCCACCTCGTCAAAGTGGTCTGCCAAGACCCTGGCCGCGGCCAGCCCTGCCACGCCGCTGCCGCACACCACCGCCCTGCGGCGAGGGGGCAGGCCGGCCAGTGTCAGGACACACTTTTCAGGGGTAGAGGGCGCCGCGACCCACGTCGCCGCCTGGCATTCTCGCGCACCTGAGACCGGTTGCTGGCGACTCTGGGGGCAGCTGCCTCTGCTGCCCTGTCGCCACAGAGTCGATAAAAGCCTCGGGTGCAACCGCCGCGCTGCGCGCCACGATCCGTGCGACCCTCGCAAAGGGCACCAGCTCGAGTGGTGTGTGGCTTGGGCGCAACTCGGGGCGCGCCCGCTGCACACGCTGCGCTGGCCGAGGTGCTGTCCTTGCCAAACATGCGCTTTGACGCGCATCAGTAGCCCGTAAGCTGCGTGGTTGCATGTTCAGCTGCATCACGATATCTCCGATAATGATGCCAGCTAGCCGGTGAATGTCGCTGGTTGGATCGGTTTATTTGAATGACGCACGATGCTGTAGGTCGCGCGCTTTTCACACTGTTGTAAAATGGGTCGTAGAGCAAGCACTGTGGCAGCTGCCTGTTGGTGGCCACGTCGCTGGTCGCGCTTGTGAGCTTGTCACCCCCACGCAGGTTTCATCAGCATTACGTACCGAACTAGGCAGACCGTGTCAAGCGCACCCAGCGATAGCTACCCGCATCACCACAATAAATGCACTCAGGAAGCCACGCGTTGCCAAGTGCACAATGGCCTCTGGCGCTGTCATCTTGTGCAAGTCGAGGCTGTTGCTGGGGGGTGCGCTGGATGCTTTGGGCCACCTGCCCCACCCAAACCCAGGCTGTGTTGAGGACTTTGACAGCCTGCCGCAAGCCACTCTCAGACTGAAAATTTGCAGCCTTGCCGTTACAATGTCGCTATGTCGCACCATGGGGGAGGTGGTGCTTGGTCTTCTTTGTGGACCACCGGCACGGATGTGCACTGGAGCGTCCAAAGTAAACCGCCCATGGGGCAATGAACTTTGGATTGATGTGGTGCGACAAAGCAAAGCTTTCCCAAATGTGATGTCATCATATACGCAAGATCTGCGTGGCCACACGTGCTCAGTGAATGTGAGCTGCGCCTGTCAAGACCGCTCGACCATCCACGATCACAAGGGAGTCTGGCAGAAAAATCGGTGCATCGGCGAGGGAGCACTCACGCATGATTCTCATATGTAGGATACGGCGCCCCAGGCTCACAACGTCACGAGTAAAAGGCCTGGGTGCCTCGCCATGAGCGCCCTCGCAAACGCGGGCTCAACCCCGTGGTCAAACGCCCAACTTATTCGCACCATCGGCGGCCCCGCCGCCGCCGCCCCCTCGTCTCCCTGCATCTCTTCGCTTTCCTCCTCCCCCCCGCAGGACCGCCAGTCCTCCCGCCACCTCATCGGCGCCACCATGCGCTCAAGCTCCCACGGCGCGACCGGCGCCGTGGGGGACCCGTCGTCCGGTACGGTCAGCCGCAACGACAGCGCCCTCATCCGCCGCAGCTGCGGCAGCGCCAGCAGCAGCAGCGGCACCAGCTCCGCGCGCAGCGGCGGCCGCGGCGGCGGTGGCACGGCTTCGTCGTGCTCGTCGTCGCAGCGCTGCCTGACCCAGCAGCTCTGCGCATGCAGCTCCTCCAGGCAGCCGCCGAGCGGGCTCTCACCCAGCACCCTCAGCACCCTGTCCGCGCCCTCCACGACCCCCTCCAGGCGCAGGCGGCGCAGGCCGCCCCACTGCCGCGCTATCTGGGAGAGCCTCAGGCTGGCTTCCACGTCCAGGCCTGTGCCTGCGGGGAGCCGGGGGTTGGTGGCGGCATACGCCGAGTCAGGGGGGCCGGGCGGTGGTGTTCTGCTGGCCCGCATGCAGTTGAGGACGCCACCAGTCGCCGTCACATGCAAATCCGGAAGGTATGGCTGTCCTCACAACTTGACAGGCCACGTCATGCAACAGCAACGGCTCCACCTGCATTCAGACACGGCCGCGAGGGTCGAACATCACCGTTGATCTTCCAACCCAGGCGCAGCTGCAGCCCGCCAGCGACCGAAACCGCATCGGCACCCTCCGCAGCAGGCGATGCCGCCGAGTCGCCCGGGGCGGCCGCCACTCCCTCGACGGCGCCCCCGCGCCCAAGCGGCAGGCGCAAGAGGCTCCCTGTGGCCGCAATGGGCTGTGTCACTGTCATCCATGAGGGCCCCCCATGCTCAGAGCTCTTGTCGCCCAAAGACAGCACCCTCAGCCGCCGCAGGCCGCGCAGGGCGGGCCCCGGGCGGAGCCCCGAGGTTAAGCCCTCCACATAGATTTCTTCGAGGTTGGGCGCGATCCGCCACAAGTCTCCGCGGACGTCCGCGTCGTGGCCGCCCTCGTCGCGCGAGTGCAGCAGGGCGGCCCTCAGCACCCGCAGCCGCGGCAGCGGGGGCCGCGACCGCCGCGAGGCGCGAACCGGGCCCGGCCACTGTGGGCCTTCTAGGATGATTCCCCTTGCGATCCCCAGCTCCCGGAGGTTTGGCAGGTTGAAACCGACGATGTCCCGCAGGGAATCGGCGGCCCTGTGCCGCGGGGAGCAGAACGGGCTGTCTGGAGTCATGTTGCAGCGCTCCATGAACCTGGTGTGGGGCGGGTGCAGCACGTTAAGAAAACACTCGTGTACAGCGTGCCACCAGGGTGGCGTTTCTGGGGTGCAACCTCTGCGGAACGGTCGCGTGCGGGTGAGCAGCCACTGCGGGCGCCGCAACGCCGCCCCGAGCGGCAACGGTCCGTTCCCCGCAGAGCGCCATCCAGCTGCCGGAGGTGCCTCTCGCCATGGTAAGGCATGATGCTGCGCCCGGTTCCCAGTGACACCCAGCGCCTTGCCGCCATGCCAGCACACTGGCATGCACTCGCGGGCCGCGTTGATGCAGCAAAAATCGAAAGTGGGGGGCAGGGGTGGGCGGGCGCTCACGGCTCGGCGGTATTCCCTAGCATGAGGGCGGTGACATTCCGGAGCCCATCTCCTGCGAGGCAGGCGAGCATCCTCAGGTTCTCCCGGTCCCTGGAGGCCAGGAGCTCCAGCCGCCGCTGCGCCAAGCCAAGACGGGGGCGGCGCACCGACCGGCGGATGGGCGGGGGGATCCGCGGGTAGAACGACGGACGTGCGCGCGCAGGACAGCGGCCAAATCAAGGTCGCCGCCGTGGCGTTGACCGTGGGGGCGCGTGTGCAGGGTCGGCGCTGGCATACCCTGGTGAGGCTCCAGGCGTCACTGTCAGCGGTCGTACGTGCACGTTTCTTTCAAAGACACCGCCCGTGCATGGGCGCCACCCACCAGTGCCGAGAGTCCATCAAGCGCCGGCGGCGCGACGCCGGGGGGCCAGGCCGCCAGCGAGAGAGTGCCGAGCGACGTCGCCGCGGGCAGGAGCCGCCTGACTTCGCGCGCGACCTCGGGCAGCATCTCAAAAAGCAGCTCGAGGGCCTCCAGGCGTCCGACCAGCGGCACCAGCGGCGACGGGTAAAACATGGGCGTACTGTCGCCTTTCTTGCGTGGCATGCAGAGGCTCAGCTTGCGCAGGCTGGACAAGCCGTCCAGGTGGGCAAGCGACAAGATCCTCTCCTTGACCGTGGAGGTCCCGGGCTGCGTGTGAGGGAGCGTGCCCTTGGGCAGGAGGCGGACGCTGACGCCGCGCAAGGTGCCATGGGCAGCGGCGGCGCGGGCGATTTGTGAAATCAGCGGAGGGTGGCCTGGGACGCGGCGCACCTGGGTGGGGGTGAGGGTGGTTTGGCGCACAGCTAGTGAGGGTGTGGCGTTCACCACAGCGCGTTGGTGGCTCTGCATGGGAGCCATCTGATGCAGCTGACGTGGAATGTTTTGCGACGATCATCACCGCCGCCGCGAGGCGGGCGGACACGAGGGGATGCCCCCTTCCCCCTTGGCCGTGCGGGCGCGTCAGCTGCTCAGGGGAGCTGGTCCACATTCCCGAGTGCTGGATGCTCCTAATGCAGTGATGTGAAAGGAAGCTTCCTGGCTGTGTCCAACATCTTGACGACCCTCTTTGCCGGCCCTCGCCCTCACTAGGCCACCCTGGCGCCTCACCGCAGTCAGCCGGGGAAGCTGCTCCACGTCCGCCATCTGCTGAGTCAGCACAAAGATGTTGCTGCACAGCTTGGTCCAGCGCTCGGAGGGGACCATGTCTGGACCAAAATCGTATCCTCGGTGATTGAAAACGAGCACTTTGGCGCCTTGCATGCGCCTGCACGTCATGGTGGGGAGTCGTGCAGAGTAGGGGGAGGGTAGCGGCAGTTGCATGCTGCCCGCTGGGGGGTGCGGCGCAGCACTGGCGAGGGCGCACGGTGTCCCTCCAACCCCAACACGCGCCGCTGGCCGCGCATGGCCAGGGGGCGAGGGCGCATGTTGGCGCCCGCCGGGCCTCCTGGCTGCAGCTGGCCGCGCTGCGGCGGGCGCGCGCCCTCGGCTGCCGGGCCTGCAGCCACGGCCTCACCGTGCGGTATCTCTGAGCTCGTTGGGCTGGCAGCCGATCGACCCCTCGTAGCAGCTGACGCTGAGGACGTCTACGTATCCGCTGTCAATCACTTTTCGAAGGCGCCTGCTCGTCCCCCTGAGCGGGCCCAGGGTGTACACTCGGCCGCCCGCTGGCACCAGCCAGGCGATCAGGACCTCCCAGGCGCCTTACGCGTCAGTGACGCCAGGTCGGGGGACGCGGGCCTGTTGCTGCTGCTGCCGTGACTGCTGCTGCTGCTG